ACAATCAACATGCTTTGGGATCCATGTGAAATACAAAGGTTTGGTATATATCAATTCATGAACAATGCAACAGATGGAGGGTGTTAGGTGAATGGATCAAAGGTATTTTCTGTGATAAGATTGACAAAGAAAGTGGTTAGTCAATAAACAAGCAAGGTCTTCGAGTGGAAATCAAAGTTATCATAGGAAGTGAAGGAGCAATCGCCCTCAAAGTCAAGCCACAAACGAACTACCATATTTTTAAACTGACAAGATTTTTCTTTGATTGAAACAGGGGCAGAAAATTTCGTTTGTTTCGGAGAAACCCTCCGTAAGGAAAGGCAAGCACCAGACAGGTTTGACCATAAATTCTCAGGACCTTCCTGGAAAATGGGACCTAATTTAAAATTCAAAACAATCATGAGTAGTAAAATCTAGCATAAATATACTCCAAGGAATATAAGATGGTTTCAAAGTTTGCATGTTTGAGATAGGATTCAATTAGGAGTTTTCAGGACCCTCCTGAATAATGGGACCTAGCTTTAAGATTTCCATTAGATAACAAGATGTAGCAGAAGTAATACCTTTAGAAGATATAATTTAGATTTAAAAATGTCATTTAACTAGGAGTTGTCAGGACCTTCCTGGATAATGAGATATATCTTTCAAATTCTTAGAATATTTGGTAACAGTATTCAGTTTACCCCTCACAGATGTGCCCAGCTACCAAACTGGAACAAAATATTTTCTTTGTTTTGTCTATTTTGTTGAAATTAGGCACCCACCTGGAGAGCACAGGAATATAGTTCAAGTTCAGCAGTCAGGAGCCCACCTGGAGAGCACGAGAATACAGTTCAAGTTCAGCAATCAGGCGCCCACCTGGAGAGCACGAGAATACAGCTCAGTTTAGCAATCAGGCGCCCACCTGGAGAGCACAGGAATACAGTTCAAGTTCAGCAATCAGGCGCCCACCTGGAGAGCACGGGAATACAGTTCAAGTTCAGAAATCAGGTGCCCACCTAGAGAGCATGGGAATACAGTTCAAGTTCAGCAATCAGGCGGCCGCCTAGAGAGAGCGGGAATACAGTTCAAGTTCAGAAATTAGGTGCCCACCTGGAGAGCACAGGAATACAGTTCAAGTTCAGCAATCAGGCGCCCACCTGGAGAGTACGAGAATACAGTTCAAGTTCAGCAATCAGGTGCCCACCTGGAGAGCACGGGAATACAGTTCAAGTTCAGCAATCAGGTGCCCACCTAGAGAGCATGGGAATACAGTTCAAGTTTTGGCAATCAGGCGTCCACCTGGAGAAAAGGAAAGCATCTCAGATTATGATACGAGTTCAGAAATCAGGCGTCCACCTGAAGAAAAGGGAAAGAGTCTCATATCACAATTTAAGTCGGCAAAAAAGGACTTCATCTAGAAAATACAAGTCAACAAGGCAACAGGAATTACAAGATCAAGTTTGAAGATATAGATAGGATTCTTGTAATGAATAGATCATAGTTTAGTCTAGCTTTTATTTGTCATGGTGTAATAAGGAAGTCACTAAGCAGTAGCACCTGCAGCTAGCAAACGTTAAGGTTCAAATCCAAAGTCTGCATGAAGAACCATTCAAGACTCAAGATCAAGCTTCAGAAGACTTATAGATAGGAATCTTGTAACTCGTAGTTGACAGGTTTAGCTAGTCTTTTTCATCTGTTGATTTTTTGATGTAATAACAGGACCGCGGACCGGAACCTCGGTAGAATGGCACCTCGACTGGATCTCCACCTCGGTATACTCCATCATCTCACTCACCTCTGAACTACACGTGGCCTGATTCCTCTATAGGCAAGGATATGTAGGCAGCTCAGATACCATAGCTCGGTCACATTCCCCTTTTCTCTTAGTTTTGGTCTCCTTAAATAAGGCTCAGGCCAAAAAACCTGTCTAGTTGTTATTTGTCTGAAAGCTCTTTGCGTTTCCAGCCAAAGAGGGGCAACTATAGACATGTGATTTTTGACCCTCCCCAAGATTTTTTCATATTTAGCACGTAAATATTTAATTTAGGCCTAATATAGCTATTTCGACTCATTTTTACTCTTTCAATTTATTTTATTATAAGAAAAATGAAAATTACAAAAAAATATTTTAGTATGTTTCTTTCATAAATTTTTAAAAAAATACAAAAAATAGTACCTTATTTTTATCTTTATATAATTTTGAAAATACAAAAATATATATAATAGTTTCATGTGTAGCTTTTGCATTGTGTAGTATTTTTATTTTATTTTGAAATGAGTCAATTAAGGTGTTGGGTGACAATTTTAAGAGTTTTAGAACCCAATTCTTGGTACAATTCGGATTAGTCCATTAAGCCTAGGGACCCTTCTAGACTCTTCTTTGCAACAAAAACAAATAAAAAAGACCCTAACGACTTAACTCAAAAAGACCTAGGGACTAATTGGAAAAATACACAAAATAATAACCTAAACCTAGACTCTAAATATTGGAACGCCTAAATCTGCAAAAAGGACAAAAAATGACGCTGGAAAAGCTGAAAAGCTGCGCCAAAAAGAGGACCCCCACCCCTCGGATCGTCCTCTTCACACCCCCCCTTTTCAAGTCTTCTTCTTCAGAATTTCCTTAGAACACCCATCAACGGGAACCTTCAGCAGCACCAAACCTAACACAAGCCATGCCACCTTCACAAAATCAGTAGCGCCGCATTTGAGCAAAACCAAATGACACCCCTTCCCCAACGTCTCTCCTTCTTCTTTCACACACACGCAGCTGATCTAATTCCCAAACTTTCCGGAAACCATCCCTGAAAAGCCATGAAAATCGGTCAATAATTTCAGTTTTGGAACGCAATCAAACAGCTTCAGAACTTGTCGAAACACCAACTCGAGATTTCCAGCCCGTGGTCGAGTTTCTGTTGCCATTCGCGATTCCGTTCGAGGTCTTCAGGTCCCTGTTCCGGTTGTGGTCATTTTCGGGTGCGTTTCTGTTTCCTTACTCTGCTTTGATGTTATTGAGAGCAAATTACAGTGATAGAGATCTATCTTATTTCCGTCTACATAGTTGTTTGAACATTTTAAGTGAGTTTCCTTGTTTAATGTTGTTGGATATGCTATAATTTGTTCTGTTAATTAGTCTGCTAGCTTGTTAGTTTGCTGTGTTTTTGTTTGAAATTAGCTTAAAATCTCTAAAAATGTTGAGTTTCTTGTTATTTTATGAATTAACAATTGTTCAGTTAAATTAAATTAGGAAGAGCAAATAAATGGGTTGTTGGGTAGTTTAACATATTTGCCTTCTCTCTCTATTTGTCTAATTTTATCCAGTTCATTTACGTTACATTCTATTCCCCCTCACAATTGCTGGTTTGCCATTTTTGTTCTGTTTTCAATTGCGTAGGACGCCAATTCTTTTCAGACTCGGTTGTTGAAAGTTTTTTGGTTGGTAGTGTTTAGTCGAACAGTTTTACGTCGCTCTAAATTGGAAAATTGGCTCAACGAAGATAAATTTGTTACTTTATAGATTTTATGGTGCTATAAGTTCGTCATTTCTTTTTAATTGATTTCAAGTTAACGCCACTTCCTTTCTTAAATTTGAAGATTTTGTATTGCTTATGCTAGCCATTCCTATAGCTTTTCTCTATTTTTTTAATTTATCTCATTGTTGTTATTCAAGATATTAAATACTGTTTGTCCAAATCCTACGGATTCAGTTTCAAAGGTCGAGAATGTGCATTGTTACATTCTTTATTCCCACCACTAGTTAAAAAAGAAAAAGGAGGTGGGCCATATCAAATAACACAAAATAGCTTATGGCCCTCAAAATTTAGTTTGGATTCTCTTTTCGTGCCAAATAAAATCTTAAAATGCACAGCCCTCATTTTTAATGTGTTTGCTCTTTAGAAATCGAGGTGTGTCATTTAGCGAATTTTTTATGGCCCTGAAAACGCGTAGTTGTTTTAGACGCGTTATTTTAATAATTAATTTCCTTAAACTCAGGTGTGCATTTCATGTGATCCAAATCCAAATCCTAACAACGTTAAATAAAATATATCGCGGATCGCGGGTGCATTTCGTGTGGCGTGAACCAAAGACGTGTTTTGTATAACGTTGAAATATTCCTAAAATAAATAAAAGCAGTTTTTAAAGCAAAAATGCACGTAGGTTTAAAAGTATTTTAAAATCAGATAATTAGGCCAAATATAACAACTGAGCAACCGTGCTAGAACCGCGGAACTCGGGAATGCCTAACACCTTCTCCCAGGTTAACAGAATTCCTTACCTNATATATATATATATAAAGAAGAAGAGATCAACTGTGTGAACTTGAGGCTCGTTCTGTGACTCTATGTCTACCTAGAGTTATACTTGTATAACTGATGAAAGCTTTGAGTTGCCAAGTGTTGACTCGAGGGCTTAAAACTATGTTAACCAAACAGTTCGTGTGCCATGTGTGTGAGTTCTTTGTGTAAATAATTCTTGTGTTTGCTTTTGCCATCTAGAACTTGCCCGGTTGGTTTTTTGATGCTTATAATAATTACACTTGGTTGGAGAAATGACCTTAGGCAGTCTTTGTGATTTTTGGAAAACCAGTTAGCCTTTCAAGCCACCAATTGTACAGATAGTATCACTAGTTACCCCATTTGAGTCTTTAACCTTTTCTTTGGCTACCTCATTATAAACCTTTCCCTTTTTGTGAAATAATTCCCTCTTTGAATCCGTCCCTCCTTGAGCATTGAGAATGAGGCTAAAAGCCTAAGTTGGGGGTGTGGTATAAAGTCGAAAATTGGCAAGATTGTACAATGAGCGTAGGAAAGTGAACCTCAAAATGTAAAATTATTCAAGCTCCGAAAGAAAAATTTTTATAAAAAAAGAAGAGAGAAATATTTGTATGTATATAAATTATGGAGCCTTGAAGAAAATTAGAGAGGTAGTTAAGGTGGTTCTATATTGGGAACTAGATGCCAATGAGGGTATGGGGGTTGAAAAAAAAAACGTAAAAAGAATGACAAATGTGAGTAATGTTCAAGGAGGATGAAGTCACTTGTATCCAAATACTTATCCAACCCATACCTAAGCCTACATTACAAGCTTAAAAAGTCCTTATGGGATCCCCAACCGAGCGTTCTTAGAATAAAGCGATGAATTAAATAAGAGCAAGCCTATGGTATGGTATATTGAAACACTTGAAATTCTTTTCTGAGAGTGAGTGTCTTTGTGAATTCGTCCCTTTTTGTTGTCATTGTACATTTTGTGATTTTGGGACTTTCTTTCTAGTGAGGGCACATGAACTGTAAGGTTGAACACAAGTTGAGTTGTTGAGTCAAATGCAAGTGCACTCAGTTGAGGGTAGCATTTTGTCACATTGTCTGAGGCTCAAAGTTCACAAGTTGACTAGTTTTCCTTGTATATATTGACAGTTCAGGAAGGGTAAAACAACTGAAGATGCATACTTGAAGTACTAGCAACAAACAACATCCATGGTCATTATTGTTTCATGTTTGGTAGATGGAGTCTAGACTAGAATAGTATTGTTTTAGTTGCTTGAGGACAAGCAAGAGTTTAAGTTGGGAGTCTTGATGTGCCGGAGAATTTCGGCACATTTCAATACTAATTGCTTAGATTTTAGCTTGTTTTGAATGTAATTACCTCTCTTACTTATGTAATTTTAGTATTTTTGTAGTACATGAGGTTTAAGGACCCAAGAATATGGAAATGAAAGCAAAAAGCCACTAAAAGACAAGAAAAGAGCAAAATGTAGCAAAAATATGGATATGCGACGCATTATGCGATCGCAAATCCTACATGCGAGTCGCATAAGGTGCAAAGGATAGCAAATCAAAATAGAAAGTTATTCAAAATCTGATGCAAGAAATGCGGTCCAGAATGCGATCGCATAACAGGTTTGCGGACCGCAACCGCTAACTCATGAAGAGAAGTGCTAATGGTGGAAAATGCGACGCAGAATGCGATCGCATAGCTGGAATGCGGTACGCAAACCCACAATGCAACAACGGCCTAGAAATTAGGGTTTTGAAGTGCGATGGGCATGAAGAGAATGCGGACCGCATGTCTGATTTGCGACAAAAATGCGGTCGCACACTTGACCTGAAAGGGCATTTTTGTCCGTTTTCTATCTTGATTTTTGGCCCTCTATAAATAGATTTATTGTGATTTTGTGGGCTCATCTGGTCTGACTTTGAAGATACAATACAAGGCATTAATATTCCTCTCTTTTGGAAACTTTTGGGTCAAGAATCTTTCACTTTGTAAGCTTTATGGCATTAAATAGTTTCTTCCTTTTGTATTTTAGCATGTGTAGCTAACTTTAAATACTAAGGTTTTGGACCCTAAATGTGTATTATGTTAATGAGTGTTTAACATTGAATATATATATAATGGTTGGGTGATATTTATTTACTTCTCATTCTTCATTTATTGTTGGTGGTTGCAAACATTAACAAGTGCCATTAAATCCTTGCTTTGCTTGGGAAAGTGGGTTGGAATTTGGAAGAAGTAAATCAAAGACTCAAGGCTCTAAACCTTGTTTAATAGAATTGCTTAGGAATAAGTGGGTTTTATTTGGCATATATTGATTGTTCTTAATTGCAACTCTTTTATATTTGGAAAAAATCATAAAGAGGAAATACTACCCAACTATTGGAAAATATTGGGTAGAGATTTAGACATCATTTGCATATCAAAAGGACCTTCCATTAGAAATTTATCATATTAACACCGATAACATTACACTTCATTAAAGGGGACACAACCTTGGTTTCTTTAATCAAATTATTTACATTCTCAATATTTCAACTAGTTGTTACTTCAAATCAAACTCAATTCATAGTCTTGTTACTGTTAACTGGATAGAACTATGACTTTAGTCGAGCAACACACTAATTGAGTAACCTTTTCACACCTATTCCCTGTGGGATTCGACCCCAACCTTGTTGGGTTATTATATTTGATACCGACCGCCTTACACTATTTATTAAAGTGTAATTTGAGCGTATCAATGTTGCTCCATTTATCCACAAGTGCAATAATATCTCTCTCTCTCTCTCTCTCTCTCTCTCTCTCTCTCTCTCTCTCTCTCTCTCTTTTCTATCTAACTTGCTTGTTCTCATTGGCCCGAGGTCACCTTAATACCCACCGCTCTTCTACTTGTTGTTCATCATATATCTTAGTATTGGCTGTGAAGAGCCTTGTTTAATCATATCTTCAATTGTTTTCTCATCCCCGACTATCCCCGATAGCTCGAACTTGACCCTAATGCCGTCCTTGAGGTCCCTTATCGATCAGACCTATACCCAGGCAACAGGCCCTTCGGTTCGATTATTATCTCATTTTAGCTAGCATTCCATTATTAAACTTCATATTATTAGCATCAACTCCTCTAACAACTAGCTCGGGAATAGATCACGTATTTTTAGAATCCCATTTACAAATTAAAATTATTGTTACCATTTTCACAATAAACAAATTGATCCCATCAAGAACCGTTACCGAGTGGAGAGTGTGCATGGATTATAGAAAACTCAACAAGATCACTCGGAAAGATCATTTCCCGCTTCCATTTCTTAACCAAATGCTTGATAGGTTGGCCAGACGTGCTTTTTATTGCTTCCTTGATGGATACTTCAACTACAATCAAATTCTTATTGCTCCCGAGGAACAAGAGAAGACCACTTTCACATGTCCTTATGGTACTTTCTCATTTTCAAGGATGTTTTTTGGGTTGTGTAATGCACCGACGACTTTTCAATGTGTATGATGTATATTTTCACCAACATGGTGGAGGATATTCTTGAGGTCTTTATGGATGATTTTTCTGTGGTTGGGAATTCATTTGAAGAATGTTTGAAAATTTTGGATAGGGTATTGGCTAGATGTGAAGTGACAAATTTGGTGTTGAATTGGGAGAAATGCCACTTCATGGTTGAGGAAGGCATTGTTTTCGACCATAAAATTTCAAAACATGGTATTGAGGTTGACCAAGCCAAATTGAGGTGATCTCCAAACTCCCTCCTCCTACATCCATAAAGGGAGTAAGGAGCTTCTTGGGTCATGCGAGTTTCTATCGCTGATTCATAAAGGACTTTTCAAGTTGGTGAACACTTTGTCCAAACTTTTTGATAAGGATACCAAGTTCCATTTTAATGAAGATTGTATGAAGGCATTCGAGTTGCTTATGTTTAAGTTGACTACTACTCCTATTATCACCATACCGGATTGGAGCTTGCCTTTTGAGCTTATGTGTGATGCTAGTGATGTTGCAGTTGGAGCGTTGTTGGGGAAAAGAATCAACAAAACCTTCCATCCGGTCTACTATGCTAGCAAGACCATGAATGATGCCCAAATCAACTACATAGTGATTGAAAAGGAGCTACTTGCTATTGTTTTTGCCATGGAGAAGTTCTGGCCGTATTTGATAGGTACTGATGTTTTATTCGTCAATACCACACAAGAGGGGAGGAGGTGATTTGTGTGGTACTTAATTTTCACTTAACTAGATTATAGAAGGACCTGGTTCTTCTATGTGTTCCAACTACTACTGTTTGCGGAATAATAAGTAAAGAAAATAAAGAACACGGAAATTTTTACATGGAAAACACCTGGCTCAAAAGGTGAAAAAACCACAACCTACTACTCAGTAGGATTTTCCCAAACTTCCACTAAAATCACTGAGCCAAAAACTGCATTTACAAAAAACTCTTTTGTAAACCTATCTAACTTGAACACTCTAGATACCTAATATAATTGCTTCTATAAAACCTGAAAGGTACAATGTAAAATCACCTACTACAATTGAACTAGAATAAAAGATAGACATTTGGAATTGGTTCTTCTATCTTGTTCAAGTAGCTTCAGGATTGCACGCTTTAATCACACATAAATTGCTTGCAAAATTGCCTTGCTCTTTTGCTCTCAAACACATAGAGTGAAAAATCAAACTTGCCCTATAGAGTGAGCAATTGTGTGTGATTGTTATACCGCGACCCTGATAAATCAAACTTGCCCTATAGTTTGGAACCCGTTAGGTAGCTTCTAGGTAGAAGTCATGACCCTAGATTCCTTTATCATTTGAAAAACAACTAAAACTAAAAACATTGTCTTCTAGTTTATTACTTGCAATCATTAGTTAAAAGTAGAAATAGAAACAACCAATGAATATATGGAAGTACAATCTAAGGAACATCATACATTTATTCTAGTTATATACCTAATCTAAATTCTAACTCCCTATGGATTCGATCTCGACTCGTGTTGGGTTTATTATTGATTCGACCGCCTCACTACCTAATTGTGGTATGAGTTTGGGCAAGATCAGTAACATTACTTAAAAATGGTCATCTTAGAGATTTTTAAGTAATCGGGATAAAAATAACTACGGCCGCAATCGTGATAATGCAGAACCTTCAAAAATAGGAGAAGATTCCCCGCGCTTGAGATCAACATGATTTTCGGGGAACGAGATTAATGGCATGACATTATCAGCGGCAAAAAAGGCAAAGGTGTTAGTGAATCACAACAAGAGACTATGGGAAGTCGCTGAGGACGACATTAATTTCATGGAGGAAGACGCAGATGGACTGCTGTTGCCGCACAATGATGCGTTGGTAGTCTCTTTAAATGTCCTAAATGTTAAATTTAAACATGTTTTGGTAGACCCAGGAAGTTCAGCAAACATCATCCAATGGAGAGTGTTGGAGCAGGCCAAGCTCACCGGAAGCATCATTCCTTCCACGAAATTCCTCGTCGATTTCAACCGTGCAAGTGTGACAACCCGAGGAGAGGTCTTGCTGCCCACGAATGATAGGGGTAATGAAGATGACCCTTTTTGAGGTGGTGGACGATGATATGGGCTATAATATTATCCTGGGAAAATCGTGGTTGCACGAGATGAAGGTTGTGCTATCAACATATCATTAGTTGCCAAAATTACCAACTCTCGAGGGAATTAAACAAATAAGAGGCGACCAACCGGTAGCAAGGGAGATGAATGCAATATCAGTTTCTAGTAGCAAAGGGAAGGTCAGTTTCCAGTACCAAAGGGAAGGGGCATGCAGTATAGCAATTACAGAAACATGCACGTTCTCCCGAGTCGAGAGAAGTCAAATAGGGGGAGTCATCAAAATCCTATCAGGTACCAAGATATTTTCAGGTACTAGAGTAATAAAATCAATGGCGGAAGAACTGGAATGAGTCGCATTATTTGAAAAATTCTTGGAGGGGAAGTTCCACTTGGGGATAGGACTACAAATCGCGCTCAAGTATGGATTTATTGAATTTTTTAAAGTTAATGTTGATTGTTTTAGCATGGTCTCATGCGGATATGATAGGTATCCCACCAGAAGTGGACGTGCATAAACTAAGCTTGGATCCCAACATCCCTCCGGTATGACAGAAAAAACGTCCTATTGCTGAGAACAGGAATAAATTCATCAAAGAAGAGGTAACTCACTTACTTGATATTGGTTCAATCCGAGAGATAAATTATCCCGATTGGCTGGCTAAAGTAGTAGTAGTTCTGAAGAAGAATAATAAGTCTCGCATATGTGTAGACTATAAGAATTTGAATAAGGCGTGCCCAAAAGACTCGTTCCCATTGACAAACATTGATCAAATAATTGATGCGATGGCCAGACACAAGTTAATGAGTTTCCTCGATGTTTACTCTAGGTATAACAAATCCAGATAAACTCAAAGTATCAGGAAAAAACATTGTTCATAACGAACTTTGGCACATATTGTAACAAATGTGACTCCCTTTGGGCTAAAGAACGTCGGAACCACTTATCAACGGCTCGTAAATAAAATGTTTGAGAAACAAATAGTGAAAACTATGAAAGTTTACATAGATGATATGTTGGTTAAGTCTTTGAATGTAGGTGACCATCTGAAACACTTGTAAGAGACCTTTGACATCTTAAGGAAACACAAAATGAAGCTTAACCCCGAGAAATGTGCATTCAAGGTCAGCTCCGGTAAGTTTATGGGATTCCTTGTGTCGCAATGGGGTATCGAGGTTAACCCCGATAAAAATTAAAGTGATCGAAGACATCCCGAACCAGCTATCAAGTGTTAAAGAGGTTCAAAGGCTAACGGGGAAACTTACCGCTTTGAGCAGATTTATTTCCCGGTTTTTGAAAAAATTCCATCACTTCTTTGCATTTCTCAAAAAGAATAATAACTTTGAATGGACATCAAAATGTCAGCAGGCTTTGAAGGATCTGAAAAGATATTTGTCAAGTCCTCCATTACTGTCAAAATAGGAGGAAGGTGAACAACTACTTATCTACTTAACAGTCTTGAAGATAGTGGTAAGTGCTATTTTAGCTCGTGAGGGCGAAGGTACACAATCTCCTATTTATTATGCAAGTAAAATTTTGATGGGAGCAAAAACTAGCTACCCA